TAAACACAGATTGATTCTACTTTTCTCAATCTTTTTTGCACTTGGGCTGACTAATACTACTACGGAGCAATATTCTAAATGGCGTAAGGCGTGTCGAGGCGACGCGACCAAGTCTCGAGCCTTTGGAGCCTACGCGAGTTCAGGCGAGACGTAAGCGCGAAAAAATTATTTTGATTTTTAGTCATTATTTAAATTTTCCTACCGCCATCATAAGAATGTAAATTTAGCATTGCATAATATTACACAAGAACATTTTAATTTTCCTACTGCCATTAATACGGAACACTAATTATATAGTACTCCGTTATATTTTGTAGAATAATTGTTGTAGGCTAATTTAGTTCCCACTGATAAAGATCTAAAGGTTAATCCAGGAAAAAAAACAAGTGCTAAAGGCATTTTGTGTGAGTGCCTAATGTGTACTCTATCATTTAATCATTTTTCCCACACCAGAAGAATCAAACAATTCTTCCTTCCACTTTGGCTACATAAGGCTCCTCATGCATTCAAGAATTCAACACACAATGCTTCAAGTTCAACACTCACATAGGCCTGATGGGCCTCGCGGTTTGTAGTCTTCCTTGCACCTAGGCCCAGTTTTTCGACCCCTTTGGCCACATTTGAGAACACTATTACGGAGTATTACATTATTTTTGGGCTCGTGGAAATTATGGTCTTGTGTGAGTGGGTTGTCTACACCTGCCCTGGGCCCACCATGCATACACATACATGCATGCATGAGTATATATATACTAATATATAATAATACTAGTTTTTGTAACGTGCGACCATGTTTTCCGAAAGACGTCGTGTTCCCTGTGCAAACCTGGTCATCAGGTTCTCTCACTCAACATGGCTTTGAGGTCACTACTGAGTGATGCGCACAACGTAGCAAAGGAGGAGAAGTCCCCGACAACTTGTGCCTTTTGCTGTCCATGGTAACCCCCTGGTAATGTACGGTGCCATCATACTGAACCAAAGTTCTTATATCCGACATTGGGAGAAGTTTGGGGAGGGGGAGACACCGAGTTCTATGCTCAGCGCTATACCATCATACATTACATCAAAGAAAATGACCGCGCACACCCCGTTTGAGCAGGGCGCGGTGTGCAACGTGATCACCCGTAATTGTTTGTCTGTTATCTAATCCATACATTTGTTGATTTTTCCATTCATTGTGCTAGTTGGGTCAGGTATAGCCCCCTCAACTGTCTTTCTCACTTTGTGTAAGGCCTCTTTTTTATCTTAATAAAATACGGTAAATGTTCCCCGGCATTTACCCCACTAATTTTGGTGGTTTACCGACCGGGTTTAAAATATATACATACACACACACTTTAAATTTATATCATTATATATATATTGAATAGCTAATTGCTAAGGCTTAATTATTAATCATTTAATTTCATACAGCTAATAAAAGCAATTAGTCAAAACAACAAACAAAATAGTTTAGGAGGAATGGTAAGGAATTCACCTTGTTCTTTTAATTACTAGTCATATTTTTGTTAGAGAGATTTAAAGTAGTATTATTTGTGTAATTGTTTCCAAATATACTAGTATCAATCCGTTGATCCAATTGACTATCAGCTAGCCATCAACCACTAATTGTCAAACACCTTCATTAGCATGTTAACCTTCCACTTATCATGACAAAATCACAATAAAAGGATTAAAGATGTCAATTTCACAATACTTAGACGCTTAAATGCGGAGAATTCTATATTCGAATACTAAAAGTGTCTTACTCACAAAATAATTGACCAATTTATTGCCAAAGTTTTTATTAAATTGTCGCCGGAGCTTTTTTTACCAATATGTCACTAGAGTGGTTATTCCACCAACTTGGTAAACTGGTCCTTTTTCAATTTGGTAATTTGGCGCAAAGTTACGTACCCATTAGAGAAACCGACATAAAATCTTCACTTCTAGAACATGTCATATTCCCTCCATCTACGATTGTTAAGCTGAGCTTTTTCGAAATATTCGAATTCGTCATCAATATGAACCTAACGAGCTTCAAACTTGAAGACGAGCTGCGTTTTAAGTTCGAGTACTTAATCAAGCCGAGCTCGAGCATTGTAGCATTCGACTGAATTCAAGCTCGAGTTTATCAAACGCCAAAAAATTACAAGTACAAGTTATACATATATCAAAATTCAAATGTAATTAGTATGAGTTTATCGAACAATTGTGCACAAGCTTAACGATCATCACTTAAAATTTTACATTCGAACATATTCATAATCATCGAGCTTAACGAGCGCTTATTTCAAACATCAAACATCTATTGACTTGAACATGAACCTCGATCATAAAGCTCATCGATCTTCAAACTTGAACCCGAACACCATTATTACCGAATCGAGCCCAACTCAAATTCTAGGTGTTCGAGCTCAACTCGTTAACAACTCTATCTACGTCCTTTATGACTTTGTTAACTTTCATTTTTTTATTGTTTCACTAACTTTGTCACTTTTTCTTTGAAATAAAAAGTATAATTCTTATTAACTTCTCTCCTCTCGTACAAACCTCAAATGGCTCAAACACACAATTTTTACTCTATTATTCTACGTGCCAATCAATTTCGACAAAATTATAAGGAACAAAAGGCATAGATTTAATCGAAGAAATGCCAATTGATTAAAGGGGAACATAAATGTGACATAAATGGCGCATTTTTCCAATCATTAATTTAACCTATTTTAAAAGGGAGAATTTAACATAATTGAGTTTGCACTCTATTTTGAAAATAATTAATGTATGAACCTCAATTCACTATAAAATCATTTGACTTTGCACCCCATTCCTTCACAATTTTTGGGTTGATGGAGTGCATACATTAATGATTTTAAAAATAGGATGCAAAGTCAAATATCACCCAAAACATGGGATGCAAAGTCAAATTCTCTCATTTTAAAAATGGGATTAAAAGTTTAAAGGGAGAGAAACATGACTCTTTTTTATGAGGTAGAAAGGCAATAATATTTATAGGAAATATTCGGATTTAATACACCAAACCCCGTGCGATCTATAAAATTGGCACATTAGCCCTTGTAATTCAAATAATGCATCAAAACACCATGTGTTATAATTATTGATGTGCAAAACACCCTCTAAGAACAAATTTATCAATTTGGAAATTACATATCCTAAGATTCAATATGCATGTAAATTTGCCAAGATCTCTAAATTATGCAAAAATACTAATCATCTATTTATTTGGAAATTACATGTGTTATAGAGGTTTTGCGTATGAATAATTGTAACACTAGAGGTTTGACGCGTTTTTTAAATGACAAGAGACTAATGCGCCACATTTATTATCACCAAAATTATATATCACTAGGAAGTTTGATACATTAAACACGAAAGATTCATTACTTAAGCATTCACAGAACAAAATAACCATCTTAAAGTAGGGTGTAAGAATGCATAGGGTGTAAGAATAATTATTTAACAAAAAAATCATCTTAAATAATTATTTATTTGGTTTTTCTTAGTTGTTCCTACCCCAACCCAAACCCCCCACCCCCAAACCACCCAGCTAGCACCCAATTGACCCAATCCATTCGAAAAAAACAAAACAAAAAATTTGGGCCCTAATCGGTCCCTGACCGGCCGGGCCGGTCCACCAAAGCAAAAAAGAAAACCTCATCCCCATGACCCCACGTTTTTGTATTGTTACATTACAAAATATACGATTTTTAAATACTAAAATTAATTGCATGATGACTAAAGCTAGCAACTACTAAAACCTAAAATACTACTACGTTTTTTTTGCTGATTTTCTTTTCCAAACAAGCATATCAAAATTAAGATTTTTCTAAACCTGACATTTTTATTGTAAACTTCTACACATAAACAATAATAAGTGTAATAGTCGCACAACTTTCTCATATCTAGGCTAAAATGAACATATAACTTGAGTGTTATATGATGACCATATAAGGATGATGATGATGTTAACTTGGTCTCATTGTATCGTTATTACTCATTATGCCTTTTTTCTTACATTACTTTGCAAAATTATGTCTTGGACTTAATTGCTGTTTTGACTTCTGTCATCGATTTATACAATGACAAATTATTCTTTTATGTAGTAATGTGATTTGCTACTTCAATGTGTACACTTTTATTTCTTTTTAGTACTCCCTCCGTCCCGCTATGATTGTCTCATTTTACCTTTTCGGTCCGTCCCACTAAGATTGTTCCATACCTTATTAGGTAAAATTTGTGTGATTCTAAATCATTCTTACTTTATTCTTACTTTATCAATTCAATATCAACCACATAAACCCACTTTTATTAATAACCGTGCCACCTTCTCTTGTCCCAAACTTAGGGGGACGGAGGTAGTATATGTTATTTTATGAAGTATATAATTTAAATGTTATTTTGGACTTAATTACCATTCCTTTTTTGTCATGAACTTATGCTATTCTGATTTATGAATGCATTTTTGATGGAGTAATGAGATATTCTATTTGAATGTGTGTGTATTTTGATTATCCTTTGTGTACTATATGTTTTTTATGCTCTTAAAACTAGTACAATAATTTAAGCATTCATAATAAGACCCGTATTTTTAATCCGAATTTTTCTAAGAGATGTCATATTATACATGTATATGTATTTACATGCTTTTTAAAAATCAACGTATTTTTTGCCGAATATTTGACCGTATTTTTTGTTCGAATTACCGAATAAAACACGCACGTATTAAACCACGTTTAATTCCCGTACCGTATTTAACTATGGTCCCGGTTGGCGGGCCGGGTCGGAATTACACAGTACCGGGTCGGGCTAGGCCCAAACGGTACTGGGTTGGGCCGGGCCGGGCCCAAAAAATGGAGCATGAAGCCCACCCCTTACAGCCATCAGTCCAGGCCCCGGGCCAGGCTGGGCCTAAACAGTACCAGGCCTGGGTCGGGCCGACCCATCCCAGTCCATCCCTACTTCCAGCAATCTATTGTTTTAGTGAAAGATCACATTACTAACGGAAGGTACTGTTTATAACCGAGCATTACTTTCATTTGATACCGACACTTGGACAGACTACATCTACAAGTTTATGAGGCCTTGCCGTCAAACTCGCAACTGCAGGAAGTTTGATATGAGCAATTATCAAGTTTCTTTTTGGCCAATTCTTACAGCTATATATGGTAAAAAGCTAAACGATAAAAAAGAGTATCATGATGATAATGGAACAGGAAAATTGCGACCAGGACCCTGACCTTGCTTCACCCCAATAAAATAAACCATAACAGTTTATTCAGGCTGTTTTGGGCTTAGGCTTGATGCGTTTAACCCTTGAATACAGGAAAACTCCAGCAAGGGCGACCCCAGTTCCTGCACATATGATGCTTATGTTGCAGTTATCATGTAAAAAGTAAACACGCATACAGCTCGTTTGGTAGGCATTTTTCAGTTTATCCACCTTACAAGCCAATTTTTAACCAAACACTAATTTAGATTACTATGGTACAAAAGTTGGTTTTTCGCTTGAGAGGCTGAAATTATTGAAAACGACAACTCAACCATCATTTTTAGATATTATTTAATTCATCCAAAAAAGAATAAATACTTTATGTCATTCAGCCTCATATTACGATTTAGCAAATTCCCACTACGCCCATTTCATGGTTCTACCGAGTGCCAAACAGGCCTTCAAGTACAGAAAGATCAACAAAGGGTAGAGAGGGGGGAGAGGTGATACCAAGAGCATTGATTGCTGTTACAGGGGTACGGAAGAAGAGAACAGACGTAACAATAACCACCACTCGCTTTACACAGTTACCGACAGAATGGGTGATAGGAGACACTCTCTGCAATATCATGTAAGAAACCTGAACCAAGAAACACTCTTGTCAGCCTTTTCATAATCAAATATGCCATCAGTGTAATCAAAAGAAATTTGTGAGTGACCCTCTCTAGGGATTTCATAGCACTCAGAGTTCAGACATTCATTTATTGAATGTGATAACACATAATAAAAAGCCTATTTGTGATAACGTCCGGCATAAGTGCTTTTATGATAACTATGTTCTCATTTAAGCACTTATAGTTCTTTTTTTCAAAGCACCAATCTAGCACTTGTACTTTACAAAAGAAACAGTAAAACATTGTTCTATAAAACACTTTTCTCCGTTTCATCATCATCATTACCCCAGTGCCGCAAAGGCTCTCACCTACGGTGGGGGTAAGGGGGGCCGAATGTACACGGTCTTGCCCCTGTACTAAAGGGGGAGAGACTGTTTCCAGATGACCCAAAGAGAAATCGCGTCAAATTGCATGGTCTGACTGTTGCTTCATAACAAAGAAACGTAGACAGTTAAGTGAGACATTTTGCTTTATTCCATCATATTCCCAAGCCAAAAAATAGTGAGTCTTTGACTCCATTGCAAATGATGGAAAAAAGGAGCGCTTTTAAAGGTAAATAATACAAACTTTGGTTTATAAAAGATCAAATGTTTGGTGCTTTTTAAAAAATATTTTTAAGTGATTTAACGATAAAGCATTTATACCACAAGTTATACCAAGCAGGAAATAAATATGAAGATGTACAGATGTACTAGACCACAAAAACCTGTATGTTGTACCGTGTACCGAGTACTCTATTAGAGCCCCCCTCCCCCAACAAAAACCATTAAGAAAAGCATTAAAAGATCAAGACTACCTGTTGATATGCATGGAAGCAGAGAGCCGCAATAAGAGACCTAGTGTAAATCTGATTGACATTCAATCCCTGATATAGAAATATTAAAGAAATAGTGTTATGTGGTCCTCATAAGACAAATCATACATACATTAACAAGTCCAAACCAAAACATGTGACCCAAAAGTGGAAAACATTCTGCACCAAATAAATGCATCTCTGCATAAGTTTGGAAATATATCCATTTCAGAACTACTTACAGCAGATTGCAGGTATGCAGGTGTGAACTTGACTCCTTCCATGTACAGAGTAAAAGGAGCCAACAAGAAAAAAGACATGATTGTAATTATTGAGAAGAGAGTAATGTTGTCCAATGAATCCTACATAAATTCAAATGTGTAGGTCAGAGACTAAGCCAAGTAAATGGGTAATGGTTTGGGTGCTTTGGGTGCATGAAAAAAATCATGAAGTGCAACATCACCTCTTTCTTAATCATAAACTTTTTGCTGAGAACATTACGAGATTGGTTGGTCAAATTAGATGCCATGGCACTCCAAAATCCAGCCCTAGTAGCATACATAGAATATGCATTAGAATAAGTAATGTAAGATAACCCTAATACCTTTCACAAGCAGATATTGAGATGGAGGAACACATTAAGAAGTCCATACTAAGTATAGTTAGGTAAAGAAACCAATGTGATAAAAGGCTAACAAAGCAGAGAGGGTGGGCGCTAGTGCTTCTCACCAATTAAAAGAGGGCTCAGTCATTGACGCCAGTGCCACTCCACCAACAATTGGAACGAGCGAAGACACAACCCAAAGGGTAGGGAACTGCAATGATATGGCCAGTTAGTACAACCCCAAAAAGGTAAAGTTGAGCACAGTTATTTAGATAATAATTAAATAAGGTAATTCGAGTATATTTTGAGAAATGTTTTTGATGAGTATATATATAATAATGAGATCATTGATGATAATTGTGATGTTATAAATGTACCATTTTTAATACTTAATGATTAGATTATCATTTAAGAGTGCTAATTATTTCATAAAAGAGATAATGGATATAAAAGAAATAATCATTTAAGAGTGCTAATTATCATTTTTAAACATTATCATATAGCAGTGCTTCAAGAAATAGTCAGTGTAGCCACCATCTTAAAAAAATTAATGGATATAAAAGAAAGCAAAGCCAGTTAACCTAGGAGTATTGAGCAAATAGCATATACTCTTCAAAGAAAAATGCACTAAAAGGGAATGCACACCTCGCCTAGAAACATAGCTGAGAGAACAACAGAGAAGAAGGGCTCCATAGCTTTAATTGTATGGGTGAAAGACACAGCAACTTTTCCAAGACTCATATTGGTAAAAAGGTTTCCTAAAGTATGCACCACTGCCAATGGAAAGATTGCTGCAAGCTGGCATTCAAAGAAATGAAGTAAGATGACTCTCTAGCATTTGAAAATAAAAACATTAAGAAATATTTACAAAGAAATCTAGCTCAACGTCAAGATAAACCTGTGCGCCACTTATTTTAGGTCGTTTATAAAGATTCAAACTCCACATGAGAGTTACAAGGACTGAGCCAACAGCAAATTGAACAAGAGTAACTGTTACTGGGTAATGGAAGGGTTTCAGGACCTACAAAAGAAAACATCAGAGCAGAATCCATTTCCAATTGAGCTAAGCAGATAAAAATTGCTGAATAAGTCGAACACCAACGAAAGATGAAAGAATGAATATAGGGGGTCCTTGGATACCAAGCTTCTTTAAAAAGACATTTAAATCAACCGACGTTATCAAAATCATTTATCCCCAGGACGAATGAATATGAAATAAGGCTCAATCAAATACGTGCGCACCCACTATAAAACAGATATGTGAGGTTTCTGAAGAAACTATAATAAAGGGCAACTGGTACATGAAATGAGAACAAAAAATGGCATATCTATAGATTACCTGTTTATTGTAGATATTGAAGTAGATGTTAAACAGGTACCAGAGCCCAAACAGCGATCCAAGCACGAGAGTGTCAGTCAATCCTTTAGACTGCGGGGCCTCTCCGGCGCTGTCAGTCCCAGATGCAGCGTGGACCCGAACACCACCGGATTCGTGCTGGGGAGCGGGGAGAGGGGTCGAAATCCACCCGTTTGGGCTCAGTTTCGGCGGCACGGAGGAGGTAGAATCGGGAGAGCACTGGGTGAGATTAAGCCTCCGAGAAGAGGCGGCGCCGTTGTAGAAGGAAATGCGCAAAGGTTGCGGCTGTGTCCTGGTTGGAGGGAGAGAAATAAGATGGAAGCGGAGCAAGGGCGAGCCATGGTGCTTCGTTGGAAGAGGAAACGAGATTGCTGCGCTCTGCATCTCCTCTCGATTCAGGTGACGGAAAATGCGGAGCGTATCTACCGGTAGGCGGCGCTTTGGGGGCTCCGTCACCAACAAAGGGAGGAGGAGTGTCGTGCGGGCGTTTTATCAGATCTCTACTTCTCGAGGGAGGGAGGAGTACTTATGGAACCGTCTGTAGCGACATATTTGAAATGTCAACTTCCCGGTGCCGTCGTTCCACTAGTAGCTACGAACTAATCCAAATTTCTGTTTTCACCTAAAACTCATGGCAAAACCATCACATAAGTCTGGTAAAAAAAACATTCAATTAAATCTCGTAAAAATCAATCAATTCAGTTTTCCATCCCGTTACCAACCGATTAGCCTGTTTTACTTAGAGGTGGGCATAAAACCCGAACCGAACCGGCCCGTAATGGTACCGAACCGAGTATCGGGTATTTAAACAGTTATATAGATTTTTATCCCAAACAAAAACCGTACCGTTTGAAACGGGTACGGAACCGGTCCTAGATTTTGAGAACCGAAAAATACTGGACCGGACCGTTCAAAAATAATACATTTGAATTTTTATATTTTTTTGACACCAATAAATCTATTTTATAGGCCAACAATTTTACACCCAAGTATGTATTCATGTGCTCCTAAAATAGCTAAATGATTGTGTTTATATGTATATTGTTATTTTTTTCTTTTTAGATAATTTGTGTTATATTTTGGTATATATTGAAACAAAGTTAAAGTTTTAATAATTATTAATGACTATTCATTTCTAGTAATTAAGTGTATATGACTTGTTGTTGTATCATGTTTGTGCAACTACAACTTAATTAATATGGTTTAAATCTTCTCTCACGTCCAACTATAAATTATGTAACACCGTCCCCAAATATATTTACCTTTATGTAAATTATGTATTGAACATGGTGTATTGAGTAATTTTTTGTTATTTCTTTTGCGTGAATTGTATATTCCATGTGGGGCCCACACTCGGAGCGGAGGTAACCCGATAACACGAGACCACATGTTATATTCATCTTGGTCTAGATAATAGTTACATGGTGGTGGACATTCATAATGGGCCATAAGTGTAACACTTGAGATTTAATATAAATAGATTAATAGTACTACTCATACCAACAGAGGTGCATCTCCTTTTAAGGGATCACCCAAGAACTCCAAAGTTATGCGTGCTTGCACGGGAGTAGTCTTGGGATGGGTGACCCCCTGGGAAGTTTCTCAGGGCGCGCATGAGTGAGGACAAAGTGCGCGGTAAAGGCTCGTGGTGATTTGTGAGGACAGTACTAGATGTCTAGAGTAACTACCTCGGGTCCTGCGGGGCCGGGGTGTTACAGGTGGTATCAGAGCAACCTTGCGATAGTGTGTTGATCCGTTGGATATCGGGCGAACACTTAGCGGGGCAAAGATTCTGGGGTTTGATTGAGATTGATTTAAGGGCGCAACGAGGACGTTGCGTTCCTAAGTGGAGGTGATTGTAACACTTGAGATTTAATATAAATGGATTAATAGTACTACTCATACCTAGGGGCGGGCAAGAATCCCGGTCCCGTTGTCCCATTCCGGTATATCCCGAAACCGTACCAGTGTTGTCCCGTTCCGTTTGGGTCTCATTGATTTTGTCCCGCACCGGTCCCGTACCGGTTTAAAACGGGACGGGACCGGGACATTGGAAGGTTATCCCGAACCGTCCCGTTGTCCCGTTTGTAATAACTATATAGATTTTGTAGCATGTGACTAGTGTGTAATGTCAACTCAAATAATAAATGGTAACATGTTTTTAGTTTTTCAAGCCCAATTTTTAAATTAAAAATAATACCTAACATGAATATTTACTAACATAGATTTTTATCCAACTTTATATATCTACATATGAGTATCTCACAACTAGAACACATGATTTTGAATAAACTAATTCATTTTTGATTTGTTTTAAATTTAAATTTCAAATTTTGCTAAACCTAACTAAAATCTAATACGTAGTAGCTTTTAGCTTGTGATGAACATCAATTAACTTTTAAAATGTTAATATTTTGGTGCATGATACTTTAGAAATGCTAATATATATTAATGAAAAAATTCCACTTTTGGTCCCATGACTATGATGTCACTTCCACATTACTCCCTTGACTTTTAATTTAACCAAATCTAGTTCGTGACCTTTTCCCCTTCACCACCCGTCGTCCTTCCGACCACAACTCCGGCAAATTTTAACCGGAAACCAATTAATGAAGGTTAGTTGCGTCATTTAATAGCATTTATAGGTTTTCTTATCGAAAAAATTCCACTTTTGGTCCCATGAATATTATGCCACTTCCACATTACTCCCTTGACTTTCAATTTAACCAAATCTAGTCCGTGACCTTTTCCCCTTCACCACCCGTCGTCCTTTCGACCACAACTCTGGCAAATTTTAACCGGAAACTCATTTATGTAGAAATATTGGGGACATTTTAGTAATTGTATGTTGTTAAAATGGCTACCTACAAAATTAACTTCAATTAATGTTGAGTTAATACGCCGGCTTCCTTCATTCTCAAAACCGAAGTCTTCTCCAATTTCCCAAACTTCCGTCAGCCTGAAAATCCCCAACCATCGTTCGAACAATGAGGACCCGTCCGGACCGTCGGAGTGAAGGAGAAGGAACAAGTGCTGAACGACGTTCGCCAACAAATGCTGGTGATAAAGGTAAGAGGTTGAACTTTTTAAAAAAGAGTGGAAGAAAGTAATGAATACAAGGCTGAAATGAGGTGTATATAATTGGTGTTTGCACATGTTACGTTCTTCCACTCTTTTTTAAAAAAAAAAAAAACTCTTTTTCAGCCTCAACATAAAACCCCTAACATGGGCAAACCCCAATTATATACACCTCATTTCAGCCTTGTATTCATTACTTTCTTCCACTCTTTTTAAAAAAAGTTCAGCCTCTTACCTTTACCACCAGCATTTGTTGGCGAACGTCGCACTTGTTTCTTCTCCTTCACTCCGACGGTCCGGACGGGTCCTCATTGTTCGAACGATGGTTGGGGATTTTCCAGGCTGACGGAAGTTTGGGAAATTGGAGAAGACATTGATTTTGAGAATGAAGGAAGCCGGCGTATTAACACAACATTAATTGAAGTTAATTTTGTAGGTAGCTGTTTTAACAACATGCAATTACTAAAATGCCCCCAATATTTCTACATAAATGAGTTTCCGGTTAAAAATTGCCGGAGTTGTGGTCGGAAGGATGACGGGTGGTGAAGGGGAAAAGGTCACGGACTAGATTTGGTTAAATTGAAAGTCAAGGGAGTAATGTGGAAGTGGCATAATAGTCATGAGATCAAAAGTGGAATTTTTTCGATAAGAAACCTATAAATGTTATTAAATGACGCAACTAACCTTCATTAATTGGTTTCCAGTTAAAATTTTCCGGAGTTGTGGTCGGAAGGACGACGGGTGGTGAAGGGGAAAAGGTCACGGACTAGATTTGGTTAATTTGAAAGTCAAGGGAGTAATGTGGAAGTGACATAATAGTCGTGGGACCAAAAGTGGAATTTTTTCATATATTAATTACAAATGATTATTTTTTGTTAGTTTGGGACGTCTCAAACCGTCCCGAACCGTTCTGAACCATCCCGGTCCCGATTTAAATGGGACAAGACTAGGACAAAGGCTTGTCCCGTACCGTCCCGTCCCGTTATTATTAATTGGGACGGGACCGGGATAACCCTAATCCCGAACCGTCCCGACCCATGCCCACCCCTACTCATACCAATAGAGGTGCATCTCCTTTTAAGGGAGCTCATCACTCAAGAACTCCAAAGTTAAGCGTGCTTGCACGGGAGTAGTTTTGAGATGGGTGACCCCCTGGGAAGTTTCTCAGGGCGCGCATGAGTGAGGACAAAGTGCGCGGTAAAGGCTCGTGGTGGTTTGTGAGGACAGTACTAGACGTCTAGAGTAACTACCTCGGGTCCTGCGGGGCCGGGTGTTACAATAAGAAAGGCATTGGGTTGACCGGTTTGTCAAAAAGAGCCCAATTACCAGTACCGGCAATTTATCATATAATAGCCCGAAATGAATTTCGAAGACTTTTAGATTAAAGTTGGCGGATGTATATTCATTCTTAAGATCCATAATGATTGTGAACATGTAATATATATTATTTAACCCGATAGAATAAAATATAATTAAAATAGTCCGAGAAATACAACTTTCGGGGTCGATTGTACACACCGGGACACAAAGGGATGACCTCCCACATGTGTGGGGGCCACCCCACGGATTTGTCAACTCTTGGAGACCTGATTGAGTGCAAATGGGGCTGAAAACCATTGAAGGGATGGGGGAGACCATCTTGACACCTAAGGGGCCCCTCTCACACTCATATGGCAAATATACCAAAAAGGAAAACCCATCCCATTTCCCTCATCATTCAGCCTCGACCAAGACACCAAGGAGAGAGAGAGTGAGCTCTGAAAACCTCCATCTCCATTGTTGAAGAAAGCTCCAAGAGCAAGGGACTCAAGGAAGGAGAAAGAGTTGCAAAAGTAGAGAAAAAACCTTGGGAAGAAAGGTAAGAAGCTCCTGAACAACGTTTCTCCTATCTTTTGATTTTCATATGAGTTATAGATCATATGAAATACCCTTGGGGTAGTTCCACATTGAGAAGTGTAGAATGAAGGGTTGGAAGGTAGTTCTAAGTCCAAGAACGGACTTAGAAGCCAATGAGACCGGTTCGCCAGAAAATAATCTGTTGGAGGTTATTTGTATTGACATGGATTTTGTGATGATAAAACCTTGTTAGGCACTTGTCAAAGGTAATTCAAGAGCTTTCACGAAGTATAAAGAGTCGCCGGAGTTATCGCCAGAGTTCGCCAAAGTTCACTAGAGTTTCGCTGGAGTTCAACTGAGAAGGGTAGAATTTCATCACGCTCATTCGAGGTGAATGGACGGCTTAATGTCTTATAACTCTTGGGTTAAGTATGAGATTACCTAAATAAATGTTATAAGTATTCATAATGATGTTTTAAAGAGTTTAAGCATGTGATTAGCCAAGGTGATTAGGCTTATTTGAATGAAACTACATGATTATGCATGTGGAAAGTAGGAAATTTATATAAAAACATATGTGATGTTTTGGATGGCCAAAATGGCATTTATTGATTGTTTTAGACATGATATAGGCTGTATAAAAATTTCGGATCAAATGGATCACGTTTCGGGGGTCAACTCGGGGGACAACGGGCCGTTGA